CTAGGCCCGAAACGTCAGCCTTCCTGCGCCTCTGATGCTGCTTGGCCTGCTGTGTTCATCCAGCTCTACACCTTGTTATCTGTGAAAGAGTATAGTGTGCTTTTGCTGAAGTTAACTGGTGTAAACTCTTCAACCTATTAACACAGCATTAACAAGCATCTTGCTGTCTGACCGATAAAGGTTACCCTTCAAATTTGAACATCTTGCAGTGTTCGTTACCTGGAATGAAGTAGGAAGTCTATTTCTCAGGGCAGGCCTTCTCTCAAAGTTCAGAGTGAACCAGACTGGCTACAAAATCACCAATATTGGCCTTCACCAATATTACTGAGCCCATGAAAGTGAGCTGAGTTGAATCCATGCCTCTGTGTTCAAACTAATCCTGAAAAGATGATTACATTTATTTGGCAATTAAGTGAAGCAAACATTCAAGTGAAACTCAATGTTATTTATCTTTAAATTGGGCAGTCACTTTGACAAGCAGAAATGTGCAACGAAACAGGAAAAAACCCAGAAATTACTGTTTGAGTTGTACTAGCCCTCTTAGCTGCTGTCTGAAGAGATCACCTTGCTGTCTGGCTCTCCACTAAAACATTCTTGACGGTATTAAGCTCCTGTTCTTTCAGACAAGCACTTGTATCATTTTCTGCACAAAAGTGGCTTATTTAGCTGCTCTGTTCCACAATATGCTGATCTTTATTCATGCAGTGTAGGTCTAGAATCCTACCAGACAACTGTTTTCACCTCCACGTTTACAGGTATGATTATCATTAGCAAGGCACAACACTATGAACTTTCCTCCTCTCAAATCACAACACTCCAAATGGTGTTGTTTTCCCAGAGTTCCTTTTCCACTGACAAATCAATAATACCCGATTCATGATTTGGCCACTTCTGGGAAAACAACACTTTTAGTGTCTCCAACCTATTCACACAACTTTCTAGGTTTTGACAATTTTAAACCAGCTCGTTTCCTTTTCCACCATATAGCAAAGACTAACCTTTCCTGTGACTGATTTGCTTCTTCTCCTCAACAGTTCAGTGTATTTCTCTTTCCGGCTCTGTTTAGTTTACCTTTATGTTTACATCTGTATGCTAATCACCTTTACCCTCCAGCTTCGCTGCTTGTTGCTTCCCCTCTGCATCTGGCCATTTCACATCCATCTCATCTTCTCCTTTACCGCTATAATCACCCTGTTCCTTCCATTCACTTGTTTCAACAGATCCATTAAAAAGGTGAAAGTTGAACATCCTAGAGCTGTTGCTGCCAGTTTACCAAAATTACATTTCAACCCTCATGGCCAGCCATGCTGCATTGTCAGTCATGCACTTCAACTGTTTTGCAAAATTTGCCAACTACCAGCTAAAAAACATAAGTTCCTCAGTTATAAATAGAGATAGTAAGAACTGCTGATGCTGGTGTAACAGATAACAGTGTGGAGCTGGAGGAACACAGCAGGCCAGGCAGCAGAGGAACAGGAAAGCTGATGTTTCGGGTCAGGACCCTTCATCAGAAATGGGGGGAGGGGTAGAGAGCTCTGAAATAAATAGAGAGGGGGTGGGGCTGGGGAAGGTAGGTGGGATGGCAATAGGTGAGTGCAGGTAGGCAATGGTGGGGGTTGGTCAGTGAGGTGGGAGAGAAGACGGACAGGTCAAGGAGGTGGGGGGATGAGAGGCAGGGTTGGTTATGGGATGAGGTTGTGGGTGATATCCACACTCAGACCATTGGGTTGTAGGCTCCCAAGGTGGAATAAGGTGCTGCTCCTCCAGTCTCCGGGTGGCGTTGTTGTGACACTGGAGGCGGCCCAGGATGGACATGTTGTCCATGGAGTGGGAGGGGGAGCTGAAGTGGCTCGCAACTGGAAGGTGTTGTCGTTTGTTGCAAACCGCACGCAGGTGCTCTGCAAAGTGGCTTCCGAGCCTCCGCTTGGTCTCACCGATATACAAGAGGCCACATTGGGAGCAGCAGAGGCAATGGACCACATTAGCGAATGTGCAGGTGAACATTTGTCTGATGTGGGAGGTTTTTTGGGGCCTGGGATGAAGGTGAGGGGTGAGATATAGGGGCAGGTGTAGCACTTCCTGTGGTTGCAGGGAAAGGTGCCAGGGGTGGTGGGGCTAGTGGGGAGTGTGGAGCAGACGAGGGAGTCATGGAGAGAGCAGTCCCCCCGGAAAGCAGATAGGGGTGGGGAGGGAAATATATCCTTTGTTGCGGGGTCAGATTGCAGGTGGCGGAAAATGATGCGTTGAATCCGGAGGTTAGTGGGGTGATACACGAGGACAAGGGGGATTCTGTCTTTGTTTTTGTTGCAGGGAAGGTGTGTGAGAGCTGAGGTCAGGAAATGCAAGAGATGCAGTCGAGAGCGTTTTTGACCACTGAAAGGGGGTGGGGAGTTGTGGCCCTGGAAATACGAGGACATCTGGGATGTTCGGGAGAGGAATGTCTCGTCTTGGGAGCAGATGCGGTGGAGGTGGAGAAATTGGGAGTAGGGGATCGCATTCTTGTGGGAAGGTGGGAGAGAGGAGGTGTAGTCCAGATAGCCGTGGGAGTCAGTGGGCTTGAAATAGATAGCAGTTTTGAGGTGGTTACCAGAGATGGAGACAGAGGCCCAGGAAGGAGAGAGAGGTTTCAGAGATGGTCCAGGTGACTTTGAGGTTGGGGTGAAAGGTGTTAGTCAAGTTGACGAACTGTTCAAGCTCCTCATGGGAGCACAAGGCAGCACCGATACAGTCATCGATGTAGTGGAGGAAGAGGTGAGGACAGTGCCAGTGTAGCTGTGAAGAGGGACTGTTCCACGTATCCTACGAAGAGGTAGGCATAGCTTGGGCCCATGGGGGTTCCCATGGCCACCCCCTTCGTCTGTAAGAAGTGGGAGGAGTTAAAGGAGAAGTTGTTAAGGGTAAGGACGAGTTCAGTTATGTGGATGAGGGTGCCAGTGGAGGGCGACTGGTTGGGCCTTTGGGAGAGGAAGAAATGGAGGGTTTTTGGCCATCTGCGTGGGGAATGCAAGTGTATGGGGATTGATCGTCCATAGTGAAGTGGTGTTGGGGGCCAGGGAATTGGATGTCTTGGAGAAGGTGGAGGGCGTGGGTGGTGTCCCAGATGTAGTGGGGAGGGGCTGGGAAGAGAAAATAGAGTCGAGATAAACAGAGGTAAGTTCAGTGGGTCAGGAACAGGCAGAGATAGAGACGATAGGTCAGCCAGGTTTGTGGACTTTGGGAAGGAGATAGAAACGGGCGGTGTGGGGTTGGGGAACAATGAGGTTGGAGGCTGTGGGCAGGTGGTCACCAGAGGTGATGAGGTTATGGATGTTGATGTTTTGATGGTCAGGGGTGGGGTCATGATCGAGAGGGTGGTAGGAGGTGGTGTCAGAGAGTTGGCGTCTGGCCTCGGCGATGTAAAGGTCAGTGCACCATACCACAACTTCACCTCCCTTATTTGCGGGTTTGATGGTGAGGTGAGGGCTGGGCTGCATGTTCTGTGGGGGAGAAGTTAGAGTGAGTGAGAGGGGTGGGGAGGTTGAGGCGATCGATGTCGCGACAGCAGTTGGAAATGAAGAGGCCAAGGGAGGGTAGGAGGCCTTGGGGTGGTGTCCAGGAGGATGGGGTATGTTGGAGGCGGGACAAGGGGTCTGTAGAGGGGGGTGGTTAGACTCGCGGTTAAAAAAAGTAAGCACGGTTGTCACTATATTTCCCAGGAAAATTGACAGCAAACAGACTTCCATCCTTGGGAAGATTGGCTCTGCTATCATCGTGCTTTAGCGTGGTCTTGCAGATCTAAGTAGATTATCATAGAACATCCAGAGAAAACAGGGCCAGAAAGGTTAACAAAACAGATTTTCAATTGCGGTCACCAAGTGACCCTTCAGTTTGCAGGTCAACAGAAATCTGACATTAATTTTAGCCCAATAAATATAGTTGTGGTCTTACCAATACTGGCCTCTGTCTAATAGCCACGTGGCTCATTCTTCCTTGCTGATTTAGGGACTGAAGTACTGGTTGAGCGAGTGACATCCATATCCAACACTGCAACTTCACCTTAACTCAGTATTGTGTGGCTCTAAAAATGGCCAGAAGTATTTATTATTACTGCAAGGTTACCTACTCAAGTTGCATGCATGTCAAGAGGTTCCCTGACACAAACTGGTTTCTCCAACTTCCCTGCTCCAGCTAAACAACCATTTAGCCATCACTGTATTCCATAATGTGGAACTTTTTAAAACAAAAAAGTGTTCAATTATAAGAATACAGATTTAATGCCACTTTGATCTTTCTCCTGTATTTCCCTTACGTTTCCCTCAGAAGACTAATAATCATGTAGACAACAGCAGGTTCTCTTAATTATGTTAAACTAACTTGCTGTAGTTTTTTCTGAGGAGCGATGATCAGGGCAATGCTGTTACTGTGCAGTATATAGACTTTCAGGAAGCATTTAATGTAGCGATACACAACAAACTCGTGAGCAAAGAGAGCGCTCCTGGAATAAAAAGAACAGCAACATAGACAAAATTGTCCACGAGACAAGAAACAAAGCTCCTGGATATATATCTTTAAGACTGTGGAAGATCTGTAGTGGTTCCATGGGGTGTGTGCACAATTTCAAAATTTGCAGTTGGTACAAGAACTTGGAAGCATTGTGCATTAAGAGGATCGTGTATAACTTCAAAAGGACAGACATGTTGAAGGAGTGGGCAGACAGGTGACAGATGAAGTTCAGTGCAGAGAAATAAGAGGTTACACACCTTGATAGGAGAACATGGAAATACAATACAAAGGTTGAATCTCTAAAAAGGATGCAGTGGTTGAGGATCTGGTTGTATATGTGTAGGCAATTTAAAGGGTACAAGGCAGGCTGACAGCAGTTAATAAAGCATACATTATCCTATTCTTTAGGAAAGGGCCTTGCCCTGAAGTTGTATAAGACAGCTAATGTGTTACCATTATTCAAGAGGGAAGTAGGGATAAACCAGGAAACTACAGGCCAGTGAGTCTAATATCAATGGCAGGGAAACTACAGAAAAAAGATTGAGGAACAGAATTAAGCTCCACTTACCGTGACATAAATCAATCAAGGATAGTCAACATGGCTTCATCTGGGGACAATTCTAACAAATTTGTTAGAAATTTTTGATGTGGTGATTAGGTCAGGCCAGGCATCGGAGTAATGGTTTAAGGGCACTTTTGATTTTGAGACTGGAAGCCTGTGTCCAGTGGTGTAACACAGGGTTTAGTACTGGGTCCCTTGCTGTTTCTAGTGTATATTAATGATTCATTCATGAAGATGACAAACTGTTAGTGTGGTGAATAGCAAGGAGGCAACTTAGACTACAGGACAACAGACAGGGTGGTCAAATATTGGCAAACAGAATTTAATTCTGCAAAGTGAGGTATTGCATTTTGGGAGGAGTAACAAGGCAAGGGAATGCTTTTGAACACTAGGATCCTAGCAAATACTTAGGATCAGAAAGACATTGGTTTGGATGTCCACAGATTATCAAAAACACCACAACAGGTAAGAGGTGATGGTTAAAAAGGCACACAGGATTCTTACCTTAGTCAAGGCAGCGAACAAAAGAGCAAGGAGGTTATGATGGAGCTGCATAGGAAGTTAAATACAGGCTTGTAGTTCTGTTTGCCATTCCATGTGAAGAATATGATGCCTCTAGACAGGGCACACAGAGGGGATTCTCTAGGATATTGCCTAGATTGGAGTGTTTCAGCAATGAAAAAAGACTAGATAGTTCAGGCTTGGTTTCCTTAGAGCACAAAAGGCTTGGGGTGGGTGGGGGCAGGGATCCTGATTAAGGTACACAAAATTATGAAGGGTATAAATAGGGTTGATAAGGAGAAATAATTCCTATTACAGGGGTCATTCATCTTTAAAGGACATGTTGAGGGGATTTGAGAATTTGTTTTTAAATCAGAGGATTAAAAGCTCTGGAATCCAATACCGAAAACTGTGATAGAAGCAGGAACCATGAACAACTGAAATGCCACTGCATTCAAGGCTACAGATCAATTGCTGGTTAAAATGGGATTACAATGACCAGCATGGAGACAATAGGCTGAAGAATCTTTTCATGCCGTAAAACCCTATGACTGGTTCTGTCTCAGCTAAAGTATTGCTTCCATTTCCCGATACCAAACTTTAGGAAGGCTGAGGGGCATTGGAACAGAAGAGGTTTACAAGAATGGCTCCACAAATAAGGAATTTGATTGCAGATGACAAGGTGTGGAGCTGGATGAACACAGCAGGCCAGGCAGCATCAAAGGAGCAGGAAAACTGACGTTTCAGGTCTGGACCCTTCTTGAGAAAATTGATTGCAGATGTCAGGATTAGAGAGAATATTGAAAAGAGAACCAAGTATTCAAATTCATGAGGGGTCTGTACTGAGCAAATAGGAAGAAAACATTCCCACCCACGAAGATGTTGAGGAGGCGCAGATTTAAAGCAGTTAGTGAAAGCAAAAGTAATTCGAAGAAAAAACAATTTTCACGCAACCAGTAAATGAGGATCAGGAATACGCTGCTTTGAGTGCACAGAGGAAGCGTTCAATCAATGCGTTCAGATATGGATTAGATGGTTATTTGAATAAGAACAATGTACACTCTCACTACCCATTCGGCGAGCTGGTGTGCAGACAATGGGCCAAAAGGTCTCTTTCCTTATTTGTAAGAATTCCGCAATCATTTAAAGCCGAAAAAAGTTTACGAGTTTGGGATTTTAGTAGCGATGAAACACCACACCTTCCAGGTTGACAAATTCTTGGCTGTGCGTTTGCATAATCCATTCCTCCCCATAATAGTCACTCTCCTCCCATAGGGGCAGGTAGTACTTAATACGACACAGTAAAGGGCGCGGGATGGGCAGAGACGCAACATATGCCGGCGGTGGAATGGTTCCCGTTAACACCTCGGCTCTCTCTATCACCCTAAGCCCGTCCGACAGCACCGAGCAGCGGCTCACTCTCAGCGGGCAGCCCGAGCATAACACGTTTCTCTCCACGAAACAGTTTAGCTGCGGAGACAGCGAATACTTCAGTGTGGCCCGGTCTCCGTCTCTTTGGCCATACAGGGTCACGTCATATCGGCTACCGAGACGGTCCGAGAGGTATCGTTCCACCGCCAGCACCCAGAACACGGCTGCTCCACCGAACCAAGCGGCCAAAGAGCCAGGTTCCGGTTCCAGCTCCGCCATGGGCTACAACAAGTCCCTGTCTCCCTTCCCCTTCCCACCCCGCCAAGAAACTGTCGCGCGCTTTCACCGACCGTTAAAGGCGAGACGTCACGCGCCACCACTCTTTCCCGGGTTTTTTTTAGCATTGTATGGCCCTTCGGCGCGCCCTGAGTGGTTGGTACTACTGTGCTCTGATTGACCATTCGGTCGGAACACTCCGATTGGCTCATGGGAGATTTCAGGAACACGGTCCGTTGGAACCTCGTGGTCGCACGCGAGGCGGATGGCGCGACCACCGCTACCACTAAAATCGCTCTGAAAATAGAAACTTTCGGTACTATGATTTAAACGCGAAGAATCCGTCGTACTGGATGTAGAAACTTTTGGAGGTCATGCGGTTTATGTTTATGGAAACAGACTAGCATCACAGATGCCAGCCTTCAGCCAATTTGACTCAATTCGTGTGATATCAAGAAATGGCTGGAGGAACTGGATGCTACAAAGGTTTTGGGCATTGACAACATTCCAACAATAGTTTTGAAGATTTGTGCTCAAGAACATGCTGAGCACTTAGCCAAGCAGTTCTAGTACAGCTGCAACCCAGGCACCTACATGACAATGTGGAAAATTGCCCAGCTATGTCCTGTACATAATAAGCAGGACAACTCCAACCCTATCAATCTACTCTTAATCATAAGTATAGGAATGGAAAATGCCATGAACCGTGCTATCAAGTAGCATTTGTTTAGCAATAATCTGCTGACTGATTCTCAGTTTGAGTTCTGGCATGGCCACTCAGATCCTGACCTCATTACACCCTTGGTCCAAACATGGACAAAAGAACTGATTTTCTGAGGTGAGAGTAACTGCCCTTGATATCAAGACCACACTCAATCAAGTGTGGTATTGAGGAGCTCCACCAAAATGTGAGTCAATGGAAATTGGGGAAATACTTTCTGCTGGTTGTAGCCATACCTTGTACAAAAGAAGGTGGTTGTGGCTGTTGGAGGTCAATCATCTCAGCTTTCAGATACCTCTGCAGGAGTTCATCAGGGCAGTACCATGGACCAACTATATGTAGCTGCTTCATCAGTGCAGCCCCCCTACCATGAGGTCAAGATGGGGATGTTCACTGATGGCTGCGCAATGTTCTGCACCAATTTGCAACTCCTCTTACTGAAGTAGCCCATGTCCAAATGCAGCAAGACCTGGACAATGTCCAAATTTGGGCTGACTTGCAGCAAGTGACATTTGCACTGCACAAGTGCCAGGCAATGATCATTTCCAATGAAAGAATCTAACCGTTTGCCCCGTAAGTTCACTGGTATCGTCACCATCACTGATTCTCCCACGCTTGACCAGTAATTGAACTGGACATATGAATAGTGTAAACAAGAGCAGATCAGAGGCTGGAAACCTGCAGCAAGTAACTCATCTCTTGGTTCCCCAAAGCCTGTCCACTATCAACAAAGCACAAGTCAGGAATGTTATAGAGTACACTTCCTACTTGCCTGGATGTGTACAGCTCTAACAGCACTCAAGAAGCTTGAAACCATTTAAGACAAAGCAGCCTGCTTGATTGGCACCACACGGATATTGACTTCATCCACATCAACACTCGATAGCAGCAAAGTGTTCCAAGGCTCCTTAGACACAAATTCAAACCATCTAAAGGGACAAGGGCAACAAATACATGAGGACATCACCATTAACAGATTTCCCTCCAAGCCACTCAACACCCAAACTTGGAAATGTATCGTCAATCCTTCCGTGTCACTAAGTCAAAACCCTGAAACTTCCTCCCCAACTACGTTGTGCATCTAACTGCAGCAGACGGACTTTAGCAGGTCAAGAAGCCTGCTCACCACCACCTTCACGAGGACAACTAAGGAAGAGCAATACATGCTGACACAACCAGCAAAGCCCATATTCTGTGAATAAATTAAAATAAAATTAATTGAGAAAGAAAGGCAAAGGGGAGCAGAGGAAGCAATAAAGTGGGAAAAGTAACTGAGAGACAGAGTGAAAATGGGCGCAGAGAGAGTGTCAAATAAAGTTTTCTTCCTCCATCCATAAATCAATTTATTTGCCTGGATTCATCTGTTTGTGCTTGTAGGGATTTAAAAGGGGGTTAGAGTTTCATCTCGGATAGTTATATGCTAATAATTTCTAATTTTGTTTACCTGTGACTATAATTTATTTATTTATACTAAACAGTAGCTCTTGTCAAGTACAGAAACTTGGTTCTGTTAACCTGATTCCATCATTTACCATTGAGTAAAATACGGAATTTGCATACTTTGATTACTTTAGCGGTGACCCCAAGAGTAGTGGGATTCAAGAATCAGCATACTTTCCCAAGTGGGTTGTAACAACAAAAACACCTGTCTGTTCCCATAAATTCTTATCTCCTATCACAGCTGCTTTCCCAATCTTCCTCCTGTCTTCCTGTACAACTGAGCCAACCATCAGTTAGAAAAAGACCATGGCTATTGAACCCTATCCATGCCCCGCATGATTTTATAAACCCCTATAAGGTCACCCGTCAGCCTCTGACACTCCTGAGAAAACACCCCAGCCTATTCAGGCTCCCCCTATAACTCAAACCCTCCAGATCCGGCAACATCCTTGTAAATATTTTCTGCATCCTCTCAAGTTTAACAACATCTTTCCTAAAAAAGGATGACCACAATTGTACGAAGTATTCTAACAGTGACCTCACTAATGTCCTGTACAACCACATCCCAATACTTAATGTTTTGACCAATGAAGGTAAGCGTGCCAAATGCCTTCTTCACCAGTACTGTGACTCCACTTTCAAGAAACTATGCATCCTGCACAGCTAGGTCTCTTTATTTGGCAACACTCCCCAGAGCCCTACCATTAATTGTACAAGTCCTGCCCTGGTTTGCCTTACCAATATGCAACACCTCACATTTATCTAAATTAAAATCCATCTGCTACTCCTTAGCCCATTTGATCAAAGCCCCATTGTACTGTGAGATAACCTTCTTACACTGTCCACTACACCACCTATTTTAGTGTCATCTTCAAACCATACCTCCGATATTCACATCCAAATAACTTATATAAATAATGAAAAGTGGTAGACCCAGCAATGAAACTTGTTGCACACCACTGGTCACAGGCCTGCAGTCCAAAAAACAACCCTCCACCACCACCCTCTGTCTCCTACCATTATACGAATTTTGTATCCAATTGGCTAGGTCCTCCTGGATCCCATGTGATCTAACCTTGTTAACCAGTCCAGCATGTGGAAATTTGGCAACAGCTATACTGAACTCCATGTAGACAATGTCTAATGTTCTGCTTTCATCAATCTTTGTCATCTCTTCAAAAAAATCAAGTTATTGAAACATGATTTCCCACACACTAAGCCATGCTGACTGTCCCTAATCAGTTTCATAGAATCCCCTACAGTGTGGAAACAGGCCATTTGGCCCAACAAGTCCACACCACCCCTCCAAAGAGCATCCCATCCAGAGGTATGTAATTCCACCTCTGAATGGGTTGGCATAGAAAACATCTAGATCATGGAAGCTCAATTTGAGCTGACTGTAACTTGCACTTAAAATTCAATTAACTCTCTGACCAACGGTGTGCCACAAGTTTCAATGCTGGGTCTACCACTTTTCATTATTTATATAAGTGATTTGGATGTGAATATAGGAGGTATGGTTTAAAGATGACACTAAAATAGGTGGTGTAGTGGACAGTGTAAGAAGTTTATCTCAGAGTACAATGGGTCTTTGATCAGATGGGCGAAGGAGTGGCAGATGGATTTTAATTTAGATAAATGTGAGGTGTTGCATATTGGTAAGGCAAACCAGGGCAGGACTTATGCATTGGTTTGGGTGAAAGTGGCCATTTGTTATCTCATCTATCAGGTTTCCCATTGCAGATATTAGTATAATTAATAAGGCTTAAGATAATCAAATTATCCTGTGCATAAATTGGGTGGTGAAAAGTCTTAAACTGCATGTCTCTTTCAGGGTCATGTGGCTTTAAGAGAAATAAAATTGAGGTTATGATCAGAAAGGTACCAACAGTACCAAATGGCACAGGGCACCCTGTTCAGACACAAACCAAAGTGTCATGATCATGCATATCCTCTGAGTGAAACTGTGAATTTGTGTACCTGTTTAGCTCCTGTTTTTATTTTTTAGTGTTTCAAATTAAAAATAGCTCACAACAAATTTTTAGCCTTAAGCAAAATAAAGGTTAGTTCATTGCAGAATGAACACTTCAAATTATTCAATTAACAGTGATGGCATTATTTGCTAAAATACAAATACAAAGACTTAAAGTGAGTAAGAATGAAGTTTACATGTGAGATTGAAAATTATTTTTTTCCAGGCCTGGCTTGGTTGAAGTGTTCTCTGAAGTCAGACTCAGCAGCTGCGGTGGCAATGTACTTGAATAGTTGGAGCTTGTTGTAGGTAGACTGAGTGAGTTGAGCAGCTTGGGGGATCAAGTAAGGTCTCTCCTCCTCACTGCTCCTATGGCAAGATACTAGAAAACTGCCTGGAATTATTTTAAGCAAAACAGAGGCTTCTAGAAACCTTATCTTTGTAATTCACAGTGTCAGAGAGAAAACCCAACTTTCACATGCTGTTCATAGCTATTTCAGTTGGTGCTGGTATCTGGACCTAGCTTCATGCAGTTCTTTGCGTAGTCAATGCCTCTTTCAACCAGTTTTTAATCACAATCAAATAGAATCATAGAGTTGTACAGCACGGAAACAGACCCTTCGGTCCAACTCACCCATGCCAACCAGATATCCTAAATTAATCTAGTCCCATTTGCCAGCATTTGGCCCATATCCTACTAAATCCTTCCTATTCATATATGCATTCAGATGCCTTTTAAATGTTCTTATTGTTCCAGCCTCCACCACTTTGGCAAATTGTTCCATACACGCACCACCCTCTGCATGAAAAAGTTGCCCCTTGGGTCCCTTTTAAATCTTTCTCCTCTCACCTTAAACCTATGACCTCTAGTTTTGGACTCCCCAGCCTGGGGAAAAGACTATCCACCCTATCTATGCCCCTTGTGATTTAATAAACCTCTGTAAGGTCACCCTTCAGCCTTGGACACTTCAATAAAAATAGCCCCAGCCTATTCAGTCTCTCCCTATAGCACAAACTCTCCAAACGAGGCAACATCCTCGTAAGTAACACATCAGTCTGTCTGTTTTTGGCTGGAGTGAATCAACGAGAGCAGACATATGACTCTTTGGAGCTGTGTTCATTCTGTGTCCATTTTAAAAAGATTAGCCTTCTTTATAAAATATG